CCCCCGTTCGTAAGCTGCTCTGGTGCCACTGGTCTGCTGGAGACCGTCTCCAGCAGACCAGGGGCACCGGGCGGGTTCCCCCGCTTCTGAGGCTTTGCTCTGGCAAAGCCTCAGAAGCGGGGGAACACGCCGCTGCTGCGGGTTTGCTCCCGGTGCCCCTGGTCTGCTGGAGATAGTCCCCAGCAGACCAAGGGCACCGGGAGCAGCTTTTCTCGCCCCGGAGTTCCAGGTGGCTGACCGCTGCCTGTGAGCTCCGGGGCGAGAAAGCCCCGTTCGTAAGTGTGGATCCGACATAAATCAGATCCGCGTAAGTCGGGGACTGCCTGTAAATGATACTCTGCTACATGTCTACACTAGGGATGCAATAGTATAGTCGATTAACCGATAAGCAAAAGCTTATAGGTTAATGCTGTAGACTACATGCATTTTCCCCCCACCCCCACCAGTAGCCAGTAAATTTTTTAGGAGGCTGGCCAGCAGTCCGGCTCGGTCCTGGCTTGAAACAGATCTGGGACCTATCCCTGCTGCGGCTCTGCATTTAAAGCAGGCAGCCCAGCTCAGTTCTGGCTTATACTGGGTCCGGCAGCTCAAACCCCACCCCTTTATCAGAGGTAGCAGCACAGGGTGACAGGCAGCCAGTCTGCGAGGGGAGTTGGTTTTTAAACTGGTTCTCCTCACGGACCAGCTCCCACCTGGCAGCCGGGGCTGATACAGCCTCTGATACAGCGGCAGCACTGCAGAGTGGCAGGGGGATCCTCAGGAGTGAGGCTGGGTCACACTGCTTGCCGGCTCGCCCCTAGGGCCTATAGATAGTCGACTAACCGATAAAAATTCATGAGGTTACTCGACTATTCAATTAACCACTATTTAACATCCCTAGTCTATACCTTGCTTTGGCACAATGGCTGCGTCTGGTTGCTTCCTGTATGTAGGAGGGCAATTCTTGGTGTACATTGTGCAGGCGCTTAACAGAGAGTTTGAATAGCTCACACAGCCCAGCTGTAATAAAATGTTTCTAAAAGCCCTGAACCATGACACAGAGTTAGTTACTGATAGCTTGTTTTCCTGTGTGTGTTTTGCTGAAGGAAGCACACTTGGGCAATTCTATCTGAGTAGCAGGCAGACAGGTTACAAGCAGTGGCCCCTAAACTGTGTGGCATGTCCCGTAGGGTGGTGTGGAGGAACGCTGGGGACGCACAGCTCCTCCTCTGTCCCAGTGGGCCCTCACTCCACCTCTTGGCCCTCTCCACCCCCAGCCAGCTCCTCCCCTCGCCACAATGCAGCTCTTCTCTTTGCCTCGCACCCTGCTGCAATGCCACCGTGCCCCTGGCTCCATCCCCAGCCAGCTCTACCACTAGCCACAGCTCCTCTCCCTTCTCCAGGTCTGCCTCCAGCTCCTCCTCCAGCCCGAGCTCAGCTGCTGAGGAAGCCTTGCGTGTGCAGTAATAGAGGGCAGGGACAGATTCTGTCACTGGTAAGAGGGACACAAATGAAAAAGTTTGAGCCCCACCGTTATAAAGGAATGTCTTCAGGTTTCAGTGTTGTGTTTCAATGGACTTTGAACTGCCTTTGCTGTCTCCTATCAATACAGCCTCTCCTCTTACATTCACCCACAGCCTTTTGTTCCAGAGGTCCTCAGGTACTTCACAAATGATCTACCACACCTCCTGCTTCTGATAATAACCCCAAGGGCCACTTTATGTCCTCCCCAGTCAAAGGAAGGAATAACACCAGTGCGCTGGGTGGTGGGAGTGGGATGGGAGGGGTGGCAGAGACATGACCTGCAGACCAAATAGAGCCAAAACACCCATGGGGAATGCTGGCCCCAGCCTGATGGATTTCAGGGTATTTGTGCAGACCAGCAGCCCGTCCTTGTTCCATGCCTGCCCTACCCCCATCCCTTCAGCCTGCTCAGTGGCCATTCTGTATTAACGCCTCACTACAGCTGTACACGACTCGATCCTCTGACAGGAGCAGTTCAGGCAAATCATCAGTCCCCAGCAAATGCATTAGCCTGGGGGACCTGCAAGGCCCAAGATTTAGTGTGCAACATTGCCTGCTTCCTACTTCTCACCTGCCAGAAGGGGTATTCGGCCTATAGATGGTGGAGTGTGTAGTCTATGCCAGGGGTTTTCAGACTTTTTTCTCGTGACCCAGTTGAAGAAAATTGTTGATGCTCACAACCTAGCATAAGTTGACTAGACTCTAGTCACTAGAGCACAGGCTCCGGGATGGGGCCAAGGATGAGAGTTTTGGGATGTAGGAGGGAGCTCCTGGGACAGGAGGGGCTTACCTTGAGCCACTCTCAGTCAGCCATGCAGTGGGGGTGCTAAGGCAGCTTCCTGTCTCTCCTGGTACCGCAGATCATGCTGCCCCCAGAAGCAGACAGTGGCACATTCCCAGCCAAAGGGAGTGCAGAGCTAGTGTTTGGGGCAGGGGCAATGCACAGAGTCTTATGCACTCTCCTTCCCCTCACCACTCCCACATCAAGGAGCCGGGCCTGCTGCCGGCCGCTTCTGGGGTGCAGCACAGTCTGCAGTGCCCTGACAGGCAGGTAGCTGCTTTAGCAGCCCCACTGGTCACCTGATCCCCCTTGCAGCAACGAGACCCAGTGCCTGACATTCCACGACCCATTACTGGGTCGCGACCCATAGTTTGAAAACCACTGGCCTATGCTATGTCCCAACCTGAGTAACAATGAAAGGGGAGAAATCACAGTTCATCAGAGGGCATAAGTGTCATCCCTGCTGAGCTCTCAGTCAGCACAAATGAACTTAGACTACATGCTGGGCAGCAATGGGCAAAAGTCATCACTACCTGGCCTTCAAGCAGGGGCCTGTATAGCTACAGGTTAACCAGCTCCGCCTGAATCCATCCTGGCCCATGCTGAGTCACCAAAGATGCAAACCAGGAATTAACGTAGGGACAAGCTGCAGGGTCTTTTGCAGTTAAATGGCAGCAGCTTTGTTGGAAACAGGCTCCTTCATCCCTCCATCCTCCTCTTGCTTTTGGCAAGTGATACTGCAAAGACTTGTGACTGTTGTAAGTAAATGCTGCAGTGGTGGTGGCTGCCCCTGCGGGGAAAGGGAGGGTGCACGCCGTCTCCAACTCCCTAGTAACGCCATTCTCATGTAGTCATAGTGACTTGAGTTTGAGCCAGTCCCACCCCGCAGGACAACCAAGAACACACGGCCACGTTCATTTTAACCACCAATTAATCGCAGCCACCTCCACAGCTGAGAAGCTACTGCCCTCACACTGCACAGCAGTTTAGGGCAGGCAGCGAAGAACAGCACGTCTGATGGAAACCAAAGAGGGGATTTAGGTGAGCAGCATATGATAGTTCACATCAGAACCTGGCTGATCCCCCAGCGCAAATCCCTGCACTATCACTCAGTCTTCATTATCTGCAAGTGCACTGACTCAGAAAAAGGAGGCCACTTACTGAACCACCAACATGACTTGCTACAGATGCCAGCTTCTTACCTACACATATGTATTCACAAGGCCTGCCCCTACTTAGGTACACCACCTGGCAAGCTCACAGTGCAAGGATATCGGACTTGGGATGCAAAGCTCATGCAGGAAATATTTTGTGAGCACTTGCTGTAAATAGTTCTGCTGTCTCTGTTTTGAACATATTAGGTAACAGGCTAATTAGCAACATACAGAAATCGCCACTAATGAAAAGCTGCAGGAATTTCAAGGCTTACCATGTCTTTAAAGCCCCCAAGTATGGCTGCCGTGACTATCCCCAGAAACAATCCAATGATGTTCAGGACTGTGGAGGCCCACAGCAGCCGGTACAAGTGAACCACATCCTGGCAGTTGTTCACGCCAAGAAACTCATAGTAGCTGGTTGACTGTTCTGAACTGCAATGGGACAGAAATAGCATCACCATTACATCAATGGCTTGCAAAGTACCAGACCATTTGAATCTTAAAATGTTTAATTTTTTTCTCAGGCAAGAACTACAGCCTTGTCTGCCTGAGGAAATTGTACAAAACATTCCTGTGAGAGTTGACATTGCTTAGCGAAACCACTGCGGGCTCTGGTATAGATTCTCTACAGCTTGACTGATTTAATGAAAAAATAAAGCTACCAGTGGCCATGCTAGGGAGACTGCTGTGCTGCCCTTCACTCAGCTGACTAGTTTTCGCCCAGGTCGGGATTTTTTGGTACCATTCTCTAGCACAGCTGTGGCACTCAGAGGTGATGCTACATTACTCTTAGTAACAAGTGTTGAGAGCAGCTGGCAGCTAAAACATACTTAGCACACTTCCTCCTTAGTTCACCTGAACTCATTGCTTCAAAAATCCCTACTGACTGTGCATGTTGCTTAAGAAGTGAATCCAACTACATGGATGGAGATTTTACTAACTGGCTATACAGTGTCTGTGGTTTCAAGCTGATGGAGACAACACAATTCAGGATCTAGTGATAGATGTTCCTTCAAATGGTAGTTGGTACTATTTTTACATTCGTACATAGCAACCGTATTAGAAATCAAGCAAGTTAGGAACCCACACTTTGTCTCTGTACTCAGTTATTTTTGCTGCAGAGTCTGTGCATTGTGTGGTATGTGGAGAAACCAAATCCCATGTTTTAAAACACCCTGCTGTTCTATTTGTAAACACATGGCAAACACAACTGCTGAGCAGTAACGCTTTCCCACTCACCCACTTCCATGCCAGCTGTCTAAGCCAAAGAGAGTTTCTGCCTGCTTGCTCTGGGACCATGTGTGCTACCTCTGATGCCTCTCCCCTCACTATGAACTCTTTCTACACCTGGAAGAATAATTTCCATCAACTTTTTGGCAAAAGGCAGAGAAAAGTGGAGTGTGAAATTTTTCTTCTGAGTTCCAGTCAGGCACATCGAGTGCAGTGGAGGTTGCTGGGTAGGGAAAATGCTAAGGAGAAAGGGAAGGCATGAAGAAACACAGGACTACTATGCAGAGCCAAGATATTGCAAGTCTAAACGTCAAACCTTTTGGTGTGGTGCATGGCTGTGGTAGCAAGCTGCCTGTTGCTGTAGTCAGGCACACCCTATCACAGACATCAGTCACTACAGCAGATAAAGCCAGTGGTCCACCTAGCACTGGTCATATTCACAAAGCTCTGCTGCCCAGTGGAATCCTTAGTCATTGGGTTAGAGAAAGACTGTCTTTGTGGCCTGGGGGCTAAGGCATTCACCTGGGCAATGCCTGACACCTGGATTCAAGTTCCTGCTCCAAAGCAGGGATTCAACCTGAGACATCTCACCACTCAGGTAAGTTCAGAGACACCAATCTACTGGCCATTCTGGGGGACACATGCCTCTTCAACCCCACAGACTGGCCTGTATGCAAAGCCCTAGCCCATAGCATCCGGACTTACTAGCTTTGCATGTGCCCACTGGTAGAAATTCAGGTGCTTTGGGGACTTTAGGATGAGGTGGCAGCTGAGCCATGGCTTGGCAAATGTCCATGGTACACAAGTGCCTTTGTGCCTTTTGAATCTAACCCTTACCCTGTTCTGCCACTTTCCCCTCGCACCCTGTGCAATCTGCAGACACAACAGATAATGTTTTTAGCGCAGTGATGGTCTCAGTATATATTTGTGCATTGATTGGCCCAATGGCGCCTTGATGTTGGCTAGGGTCTCTAGGCATTACCATAATTCAAAGGTACAGATAGCAATAGACTGATCAGCAGCTGATGCACCACAGCAGTTCAATTTAGCATCTTGCAAGAAAGGAAAGCAAAAGCATTTACCCAGGCTTTGACTTTGTCAAATCAGTTCCATAACTCTGAACCCCAGAACCTCACCCATCACTCTAACATTCTGGAGAAACTCATAGCAACTTCCAGTCCCAAACTTTTAATTCTTCACGTAAGTAAGGCATGACAAAATGTTGTGGGTGTATTTTTGGGGGGAGGGGAGGGGCGGGGAGGCAGTGGGGTGGAAGTTAACAGATGAAAAAACACATTTGTCTGTTTCTCTGCAAACTTTTTTCTCCCAAACTGGCATGACTTTTGGAATTCCCATATGTGGCAACCAGGATTTGAAGAGGGCTGGGTCATGTACGGTTGTAGGCATAAGTAAAAACAAAAAACAAAAAATAGAGCTTAGATGTGAATGGGGGAGGGAGGCAAGTTTAGGAGACCAATCTTGGGTGACAATATGTTCCAATTTTATGGGGACAGGCCTGATATTTGTAATACGGGTACCTATTACCCCTCACCCTCATCCTGATTTTTCACACAAGCTGTCAGGTCACTCTAGCTCAGGGTGTGCGATGCTAAAATGTGAAAACATCCCACTTGGTCCACAGAAAGCACAAGAGCCAGCATCCCCTCCTACCCCAAACCCTCCATACCCCACCTGAGGAGATTTTCCTGAGTTTCCTGCTCTTCACACAGCATGACACTACTTGTATCAGTACTGACATGTACACGTGTGGAATAAGGAAGGTACTAGAAAGGGATTTCAGGCGTTAAATAAAGCTCACATGCTTATTTTGTTTGGCAGTGGTTCTATTTACCAGGTAGGGGAGGCCACATCAGCCTGCTGCACCACCACAATGAGCCCATCTTGGGCTAGTCTCTCTTCACAGGCTAATGTAGTCACCTAGGGTATGTCTAGACTGCATCCCTCTGTCGGCCGAAGGATGCAGATTAGGCAGGTCGACATTGCAAATGAAGCAGGGATTTAAATATCCCGCGCTTAATTTGCATAAAAATGGCAGCCGTTTTTGCCGACTCAGCACTTTGTCAGCAAAAAGAGGCAGTCTAGAGGAGGATCTGTCTAGAAATAAAGCCTTTTTCGACAGATCCCTTATGCCTCCTGCAAGGGATAAACATACCCCTACTGTTTCTTGACTAGCATATTCATGCACTTTCAGCATTCTATCTTCTCAGCCTGTGTTTTGTTAAGGATGAATTAAAACAGAAATCTTCTGGTAATATGAGCAACATTTTCCTTTTACCATATTTATTCTTATGGCCATTGAGTAAAACTCCCTTGAGCACATACATGCTCTGGCCATGATGTAAAGTTGTGATATGGAAACGATATTTCCATTAATTTTGCTTCCCAGAGATCAGTCAACAAGTGACCACATGGAATCCCATTTTGGAAATCCTAATGCAAGCTCACGAAAGAATCTTTACAAGGGGCTGCTTTATTTATTTATTTTGGTGGCCACATAAAACTCTACAGATAATTTTTAAAGAAAACTCACTGAAATAATAAGAGCACTGAGAGGCAAACCAGGTCCCTGTCTCCACTATGAGCACAGCCTCCAGACACAGTTTATCCTGCAAGTCAGTGGGAAAGGGAGAACAGGGATGGACCTTACCCATAGGGACCTCCTGTGGCTGAATGCAGAGGAACTATTTGTATTCTGGGAATCCATTGGCCCTCTCAGAACAGTGCTGTAGACTGGGTGCTATTATGGCTTTTGGCTATGTACTAGCCCTGCAGTTTGGAGGGATGTTTTCCTGTGCCTTCTCCCAGGGTGCTCACCAAACACACTAGCCAATTGTGTGCTCATTCCCAGGACACGGGCCTAAATGCAAAAGGAGGTGGAATAAACATACAGACTCTGATTGAGCAGATGTGTATTGCTTGCTTGTACTTACTTTTCACAATTGTACAGGTCACAGCAATAGCATGTATTGCTCTTTATTCTCAGCGGGCACTTGTTGTTTAAGGTGTTACACGTTACCTGGGAATAAGAGAAGGAACCATTTTGTAGTCTGAGTACTCTTGCCACAGCATCTAGCCACCATTTTGCAAGTCATCTCACTGACCACGTAAAAGCAACACATCTGGCTTACTCTGAGATTCTTTGCACTGGTACAAAAATGATTTCCACATACAGGAGAGGAAGCAGGCCAAAAGACCACGGTGAGACTACTACAGCATTATACAGTAAGTGAGAGGTGTCCAAACATTCCTTTCAAATTGGAAACTGGAGAGTAACTGCACAAACCATCCCCTTCCAGAGTGTCTTTAGCATTCAAACAGAACACTACAACTCCAGAAAAAAAAAGGTTCTTGCATTTTTTTGTGTAAAGCATCGTAAAAATACTGAAAATATGTTCCCCCAGACAGCTTTGCTGCCACGAACTTGTCTTATAAAATCTGTTTACAATTTTCATTTTTTATAAAATGAAATATTAGAAACGTGATATTCGTATTTACAATAAGGCTCTTTTATGCTGCTGGAGACTGGAATAATAATAGTCCCTGGTGAATAATATTAAGTCTCTCTGTCTACATGTTACAGCCCCTGAATCTCCAGAAGGTCTCATTCCCTCTCCCTTTAGCTTTTATTACAGCTAAATAAAAAAATTAGAACAAAAACCAAAATATAATGGGAAAACATACAAGCGGTAGCAAATGAGTACCATTTCCAGCACGCTCTGGAATACAGAAATGAAAAGGTTCATTTTTGAGAATATGGACTCTAGAGAACAGATATTGGAAAAATAAAGGCAGACACATGCCAGCCACACTCCATTCAGACAAGAGATCATTTTAATGACCCTTACCATGTAATATGCATACATCATTTCTATTTGATTTAGCAGGCTAATTGTAATATTTTAAAGGCAAGTTTCTTTTTGAGATCCTTAGCTTTATTGATAGAGTTTCAAAATATTGAAACATCTGTCAGTGTTAAACTGGCTAATGGTATGGAAAATACAACATTTCTACCTTCTTCTTAAGAACGCTGTGTCCATTCAGAAAGGTTCTGTTCGAACAATGAAAAGTGAATTCACTGTTTAATGGAGCCTGTCTCCTCATGAAAGAGATAGTAGTAACAGGTTTAGGAATAAATTGCTGTCTTTAAAAGCACTTATCGGAGGACCTTTGTCACATATGCCCATCTAATAATGCATTGGTCCATGAGATAATCTCTTATTGAAGGGGCTGAACCAAGTTATTCTGCCTGTGGTGCCTGGGTCAGCATACGCACTTCAGTGGGAGTGCAGAGAGATTCTGTACTACTGATGGATTTGCTCTTGAAAGAAACACTAGGCAAATCTGCACGCATGTGTGCGCACGCACACACGCACATATAAATGAAGTTCAGTTTAGTTTTAAAACAAAATGGTTTGTTAGATTTTCCAGACTTGTGAGATGAGGCAGGGTTCATCTGAATGGTGAACGTAATGGCAGGGGGGAAACCTGAAAAACCTAGAAAGAAAAGAGCTCTCTGGGCAAGGTATACCTACGTTCAAGTCTGTAATACAAAATGAATGCTCTCATTCAAAATGGAGGTTTCACTATGAAATAAAAGTCGCAATTAAAATTATGATCCAAGATAGCAGCTGCAATGCATAACAATTCACAATCTGATACAGATATATTTTACTCCATCACAAACCCACTAAGATATAATGTGGTTTATTTACCTCTGTCTTTTTTTACTTCAAGTCAATGGGCCCTCAGAATATGCGTAAGTGCTTTCCTGAACTGAAGGCATAAATCACCAAGGACCGCATGTAACTTGCTTTATGACGAAACCCACTAATTTCAGTGACTACATCAGTCTAATCAAGTGCCACTATACTGCATGACATATGGCAGCATCTTAAATCTATCCATAAACCAAAGTTGGTGTAGAATTCATCAGCTTGTTTGTTACAGGGGGCATCTACCTGGCAGCACATAATACTAGTGCTTTTGGGTGGGCATTGGCTAACTATCGGTAGTTAGGCTAAAACTAACCAGCAGCTTACATTTTACTTATCACATAAGTTCATATTGGCCTGGGACCAATGTACAGTATCTCAAAGATTCTCTCTCTCTTTATGCCATGCTGCCAGAGTCAAGATCAAGAAGGACTCCAGAGCTTAAGGGGGTGGTGGTACAAGGGCGGGCAGTATCTGCAATGACCCCATGATGTTAGAACTCTCCCTTGGTTTGAAATTGTCCTAATTTATCAACCTTCAAGGCATGCTGCAACACCTGTACATTTGCCGTGGCTGCAAGAACTTGGGAGTACCTTAAAGGAAGACTGTAAAGATCATAAACATATTTTCAGCTTCTCAGTTATGATAAAGCTGGATTTTTCAAATGTGCATGAAAGGCCAAGAAAAGGCACTCCTTTTTATGAGAATAGAAACAAATAAATACTCAATGGGAGCAAGGGGGATAAAATCGAGCATTAAATCACGTGCCACTTGTGGCTATTCTGCATGTCAAGTCCTAGTCCTTCATTTCAGATACCAAACTATTATCTTTCTCTTATTTCACCTGCTTGTGTCTTTCCATGCCCTCAACACCAATTTAAGAGAGATTCTTGCCTCACGGTAATTGCAAGAAAATACAATTCCACCTGTGTCTGCCAAAGGAAAGAAATTAAACAAGAAAACTCCACCAGTTATATATCACTTGCACACCTTCAATGGCTTTTTTAAGGAAACTTGTGCTCAGGCAAATTCAATGTAGCAAACAATCTGCCGCCTTGGTGACAAATCTGCATGGAATGTGGGCCATGTCAGCTGGTCACCAGTTGACTAAAATAAAAAAAGCTAAATTCGCCAGCTGTGGATCATCTTTGGATTAGTGTACAGCAATTCAGATCCAGATCAATTCAGTTGGAAAGACATTAACTGGGACAACCAGACAAGAATGTATTACAAGAGTAGTAAAATAAAAACATGCTATGAACCAGTGGTAGGCAACCTGTGGCCTATAGGCTACAGGTGGCCTACTGGGGTTCCGCCTGCAGCTCGCGCATCCTTTCTCTGCCTCCTTCCTCCATGCCTCTTGCACATTGGGGCATGGGAGCCCCACACTTCCTACTCCTCTCTCTTCCTCCCTCCCTCCCTCCCGCAGCTGTTCATGGCAGTTCAAGCTCTGGGAGCACAGGGGAGGAAGAGGAAATGCAGGGCTGCAGTGTCCCAGTGTGAGAGAGTCGTGGAGGGAGGAAGGAGGCAGACAGGGGGTGGAACCGCAGTGGGTTGCCCATCACTGCTATAAACCCATATTACTTTTTTTGCCAGAGGAGGGCAAAGAGCTCAAAGCTACTCAAACGTACACATTCTTAGGAGCTTTAGACACAGGCTAATATTTCAGATGCCTTTTAAAGGCAAGTGATCTGCCTGAGCATACCTGCAGGGAAGCTTCATCAAGTTCACTTTAGCAGAAAAATAATTCTGTTTACATGGTTGACATATCACTGGTATTTTTTTATTTGTGGGGAGAAGGAATTACAGTTATGGAAAAAGATGCTGACACAGGTCCTATATCTTATTTAGGTAGGTCAGCAAGAAGGTCAATAAAATATTCCTTTAATATATTTTCTTAGATAAAATACAGAATACTCTGATTCCAAATGCATTACTCATTTACACTGGTAAAAGACTTGACTTGTTTAACATTAGTAACAGTAACATTTCTCATAAACTGATTCAGAGCCATGGAAAGAGCTCCCATTGTAGACATCTGGCTTCCTGTAAGCCCTAGTACCATTTCTCTATTTTCAGTTCTGCTCTGCTTTATTTTCTTCTTGATACCACCAGTTTAGCATCCCATACTGGAGGAAAGAAACACAAAATGAATAGCAATACCAAAGAAAATAGAGGAAAAAACTAAGTCTAGATTTTTCAGGAGACAACCCATTTGGGTACAGTTATTCTTCCTGCCCTTTTATGGTTGAAATAATAAAGGGAAGCTGAATACAAAATACGGACATTCTTGGCTTGTATTAAATGATTATAGTGGAGATCTGAAGTTTTCTGGCTTATGCAAATTTATTAACTTACATATTTATTATAATAGTCCAGTCAGCAAAACCTCCTCAGAAGTTTATGTAATAAAGATTGAATGAGAACACCTTAAAAGAAATAAATTCACAATTATTGGTGGGTGCTACTATTAAGGAGGAAAAGAACATTTGGGCTTCTAATGAACCCCTCAGAATGTCACAAAGGAAGTTAATGAGCTATGATATGGTTGTCTTTACCTCTGTCTGGTAGGCATCATATAAGAATCCTATTCCACTTGAATAAAACTGACACCTTCTGGAGTGCAAAGGCCTAGGGTCCTGAAAGGAGAAAAATATGAATGCAAGTATGTAAGCTGGAATAAGTATGCAGTCATAATACCAGCCCCCGCTGCCATGTACTCACTGCTTTTTGGAAGCCAAAGAAAAGGAACCAATAAGGTGATCACATAAGTGCACTGCAATACTCTCTGCTTTCCAATCTGTATCCACTCAGAAATTAGATGCAGAGAGTTACATTTCCCTTGCCCTCTCTACCTTTAGGCTGTGCACAGATAATCTATTTTTCTCTAACCAAATGGCCTCAGACTAGCCTCTCAATCATTTAATATTGTTTTTCCCCTCCCTGCTGCCTTCTTCTGTACAGAGGTCAGATGAATAACATACTCTTCAGAAAATGGTACAGCCACTATTTCCTCATCTATAACTGTCTAATCCAATTAAATTTAAAATTAAAGAAAAGTATTAGGTAATTTTTTGTAAAATACAGTATCTCACGTTTAAAGATTTTAAACAACTGTTGCCGTAGAGAAAACACAGACTATGAAATAGGATCTTTGAATATAGCACTGAATTTTAGTACTACAGGACCGTGGTGCTCTAATCCTTCCCTTACAATACAAAAAAAAAAAAAAAAAAGGAAGTAAAAACAATTATGATATTAAGGAGAAGAATCTAGAGCTGGGATCATAATTCATAGTAAATCAATATCTCAAATGTACTGCTTTTGTTTGATGCAAAATCTTCACGGTGATAACACAAAGGAACAGTCTCTCAGGAATCTCCACAACCTGGCAGGGGGGGACATACATCAAGCAGCAGCCAGTTAGCAAATGTAAGGTTATTTGAAAGCTACTGATGTTTGTCTCTGCCAAATTCAGGACTATGGGTGGATCCACAAAAGTTCTAGACACCTAAATCCCATTTTAGGCACTGCTGCAATCCACCAGACACCTGTTCAGAAGTCATCTAACCCTGCAGGTACCTGACGTTACTCAGCACTTATGTGTTTGCAGTAAAAGTTACCTAAAGCCTATGTTTCCATCTTCGAGCAAGCACTCTGCTGCCTCCCATCATCTGCTTCAGAGTCAGAGTGATGCATGAATTGAGGAAGATAAGCATTTGGCCACTTACATAACATGTGGGACCTGTTCCAGTAGGCGTGCTCAGAGGCTGCCTATCAGACTGGGGCCCAGGGATGGGGTCACACAAAATAGCTCAGAGCAGGATGGCTTCCCTTACAATCTTTAGCCCAATGGTTAGGGTACCCATTTGGAGATGTGGGAGACTCCCCAGTTCAAGTCCTCCCCCTCCCCCCCACCTGATGAGGAGAAAGGAGCTGCTACCTCAGATGAGTTCTCTAACCACTGTCATACAGAATCATTCAAACACTCTCTGGCACATTTAATATTTGATTATATAACTGATGTGGAACAGTTTCAATGGGAGAGATTGAGGAAGCCCCACATCAGACTATCCCACAGCCTAGTGGTTTGATCATTCACCTGAAAGCTGGCTGATTCCTCTTCATATCCCTTTTTCTCTTCATCAGGCTGAAGTGGGGACTTGAGCCAGGGGTCTCCTACATGCCAGGTGAGTACCTTAAACCAGTGTTTCTCAACCAGTGGTACGAATACCCTTAGGGGTACTTGAGAGAAGTCTGGAGGGTACGTCAACACAACAGCAATTTGGAGAAAACTGAATTTTTGTTTTAAGTTTTACAGCATTATATTATTTTTGTACTTTTTACACCCAAAAATTTCATTGCCCACCTGGCTACTATTAAGTTGTTTAAATAAACATGTTGCAATGTAGAAAAAAAATTGTATGTCTGAAATCTGTAGGTACTGGGGATACTTATTTATGTATATATTTTTAAAAGGAGTACTTTATAAAAAGAAAAGGTTGAGAAACACTGCTTTAAACCATCAAGTTAAAGTTCTAAGATAGGCCTTTCTCCCCCTGCTTTGTGTACAATTAGCCAGCCTTTGAACATACCTACTGGATCCTGCATGTGACTTACGCAGCAGAATACCTATCTTCCACTGGTTCAGGAGTCACAAGCAGAGATAGGTTTCTCCCTCCAGCCTGGACTAAGGTGCCAAACTCCGAGAAGGGTGTGGGTCAGGACACTCTCCTCTTGTCAACATCTTTCATTGGATAGTCTAGACAGTTCCCGACTAGAGTGCTACTTTGTGGAACCCACTCTAAGGCCCCCACTCTCTCCGTATTCACTTTATGGGGAGTCTCAGTGCCTAACTCAGGCTTTGTGGATCACAGCATTGTTTTCTAGGTACCTAAAAATTAGGTATTGTGACAATGAGGGTATGCCTGGACTACAGGGTTTTGTCGACAAAAGTGGACTTTTGTCAAAACTATACCTGAGTCTACACTACTGTAAGTCAACAGAACGCAGCAGTTTTGTTGATGGCAATTCACCTCTTTCTACGAGGAATAATGCCTTTTGTCAACAGAGTTCTGTCGACAAAAGGTGCTATTGCATCCGCGCTGTGTTTTTTCAAAAGAGAGCGTCTAGACTCTCTGTCGAAAAAGCGGTTTGCTTTGTCAACAGAACGGGCTGTAATCTAGACACTCTTTGTCGACAGAGGCCTGTAGTCTAGATGTAACCTGAATGTCACAATGCTTAAGTCCCTTTTGTGGATTCTGGGCATGCAGGGGAAGAATTTAATGAGTGCATCTGACGCAATGAGTTGTATCTCATGAAAGCTTATCCCCTAATACATTTGTTAGTCTTTAAAGTGCCTTCTTGTTATTATTGTCAGATGTATTTCACAAAGCAAAGAAGAACGTGGGAAGAATGAGTCTGAAATGAATGGCTGAAGTTGGCGTACACAAAAAATTCCAGCATTTTTCCATTCAAGTTTTTAATATGTTGCTGAAGTCTAGTTTAGGACATCTAATGAACTCTGAAACTGCTCTGTTACGGTACATCTACACTGCAATGCTATTTCGGGATACCTCTGGTATCCCCAATTCTTTTGAAAGTGTCTGCTATTGCGAAATATAGCGGACACACTATTTAGGCATCCCTGTAAACCTCATGGCATGAGGGATAAGGGATGTCTTGAAATAGTGTTTTATTTTGAAATTTGGCACTGTGTAGATGCGCCAAATTTTGAAATAGCCTATTTCAAAAAAGAATCAAAATAAGATACACAATTTGCTTATCTTATTTTGAGCAAAGGGTGCAGTGTAGACGCTCCCTCATAGAGTGTCAGTGAGATCATGGCAAGGAAAGGGGTGAGAACACCATTATCCACCAAAACCCTATTTTCCTAAAAATTTACACGTAAAGGACTCTTAATCCATTAGCAAAATCTCAACCTTCCATCATCTGTCCTTCACTGCAGCAGCTTTATTTCAAAACCTGTGAATGCAGTATAAACTGGCAGCTGAAGCTAGGGTTGTGCTAATTAGGATCTATTCTCATTATTTTATATTTATTTGGTAATGAACAATATAAATTTGTAAAACCCAAAAAGGCAATCCGAGAAAATGCAGAGGCCTGCAGGAATGAGTCAGGTAGATTAATAAAGCTCATTCATTGTGTTACTGGCTTTGACCTTCTTATTACCTTGGCAAGATAAAGGAACAGCTTGGAGACAACTGGCCTAAGGGTTGGGTGAAGCTTAGCATGGAATCCAATAATATTTGTTTATACCACACAAGTAGAGAACAAATTGCTTCAATAACTTCTATTCTTTGGAGGAACAGGAAATACCAGAGTGATACAAATAACATGTTATTTCTAGCACTTGTAAAAATGGAAGAATGTTATTTTTCTTGTCTAGGAAAACATTAGGCTTTAGTAGTAATTTCTTCCATTGCTAGCGAAGAGAGAGGAGTAGTGAGCAAAGCTGAAGAGGAGCACAACACAAAGAGAAATGATGTTTGCTCACAACATAGACATCAGTAACTTAATTAAAAACTGCCATTTGTTATGTCCACAGCAGATACAAACTTCATATGTGATAATGAAAGTGCTGGACCTAACCTTTCTATGTGCTAATATCCTCCATTGCCATAAGCTTTCCAAGAGACTGTCAGGGCTTATGTTGTCACACATGGTTTATCTTGCATATTTTTAGAGGAAGTGAGTGAATTGCCTGCTTTCCCACCACCAAACACAGGAAGACATCTTCCACTCTTCTCTTCCCAGATCACCAGATGTTTCTAACCTTTACCTTTCCTTCTTATTTAACCCCACACAAGTTCTTGCTAATCTCCTTCCTGTTTCTTTGGCCACTGAGGGGATGCCATTGGTGTGATCACATTGCTTGATTGTCCTTGTGAGGAGGAGAACGTAGGTAATTAACCAAGCTTTTCAGAATAATCATTATTTTACTGAAATGTGTGGAAAAAATTATCAAGACTTTTTTGTAGTGGTCAATGTAAATACAACTAATTTTTTGGTGTGCAACAGCATAATAACCCCAAACATTCAAGTGTGCAGGTAATTTTGAAAATGAAAGAGAAAGTTTTCTGCTCACAATCAATACCTCTCAATGAATCTGCTTCTAAATTTAGTTTCCAAACTACATTTTTATGTGGTAAAAGGGTTAAGATTTAACAGATCAATGAGCCACAAAGATACTAAAGATTTATTAGCATTTGGTTTATTCAGATATGCAAATAAATTAATAAACCAGAGACACAGTCATCAAGGTTAGATTGTGCAGTGTATTAAGGCTGCTGAAAAGCAGAATCGATAAGAACCATGATTTAAAGGTTATTTTTTGTACTTGCTCATAATACAATGCAGTCTGCCTGAAGATTAAGAGACACAAAGAAACATTAAAAACTGTTTAAAAATTATCCTACAATATGTCATACTTTATTAACGCTTATATGATTTTATTGCCCCATTTAATGACAAAGGAAAATGAGCCATGTTTAAAAACCATGAAAGTATTCCTACTAGATTGCTCATAAAGTGCTGTCTGATTTTTTATATTGCTATCTGCAGACTGCATATGCATATGAGATAACTTCTGATCCTTGACACACATGTACAGCAACAC